TTGGTCAAACCCAAACTCAAACAAAAACATTGTTTTCAATCGTTATGAGTCTACCGATTGAATAGAATTTTATTATAAACAAATGTCTTGTAAATGGAATTTTTAAAGCATTCTGAATGTAAAAATAAAGAAAAAAGTGTGCAAGACAATAAGAAACACTACCTGCCAAAAAAAAGTGAAGTTTTGTTGAAATCGGTTGAAAAATGTAGGAAATCCGATCCCATATATAAAGGAACACACACACAAACAACCTGGGTTTTATAATAAGTATAACTCGATATGAGTTGTCCCCCTTTCATTATCGCGATGCCTCTTAATCGTGTCTTCAAATTGATTTCGTGCAAAAACAATTGTGTTTTTCCAATTTTTGGCGCTGTCAGAACCACCGCAAGGTAATTTTATGTAGTCCTGTGAAGTTTTGTTAAAATCGGTTTAAAAATGTAGGAAATCCGATCCAATATATAAACGTACAGGCACATGCACACACACACAACCTGGGTTTTATAATAAGTATGATGTCTTGTTACACATATTTTATACAGTATTTTCTATTGTTGTATCGATCTATACGTAATTAAAAACAGTTATTTTAAGTATGAAAGAAAATTTACGCTAAGTGTTTTGTTACCAATACTATTTTTTTTAAAGATGTTTTAAAAAATGACTGAAATGTTTCTAAAGTGTTTAGGATGAAAGTTTAAGGCATATAGGGTTTTAACAATCAAAATAGGTACTTATAAGCCCTTTTAGTGTGGGGGTTACAAGTATACGCGGATTCTAACTATTCCCGGCCGCTTCTGGTCCCTAATTTCTGCGGATACGGGGACTCACTGTCCTGTATTGTTTGTCTAAGAAAATGGATAACGATTTTTTCTCGTGTATTTATTTTACATCCATTTTTAATTTATATGTGGTCGCTACTAGATTCTATTAATAAAGTTTGAAACAAGGATAATTAGCCTTGTAGTAAAAACCGTTATAAATCACACGAGAGATGTGAAGCGTACATAAAAAAGCAATAATCAAAGATTACATAATTAATTAATCATTTAATAAACGCAATAAATAGCTATCGGCAAGTCAGGACTTGGCAAGCCGAAGCAGGGCTATCGATATAAATCACAGCCGTTTACATATTGATGACTGCAATAAAAAGCAAGCAAAAAAAAAGAAAAAAAAGACAGACACAAATTCATTCATGATTCACTCTGTTCGTTTCAGCGAAGTAGCCAATGGGATCCGACGTTTTTTTTTTTTTTCTGTTTGTGTCCAAAGGATCCGAGAAACAAAAGCTAGAAAATAAATTAGGGGAAAAATACACCGAGTCAAAAAAAAATAAAAAATAAAAAAAGGAAAGATCATCTTCAGGGGCCAAACTGTATGCCTCACTAACGTACTGCATTATTACCAGAAAGTTCAATTGGGAGTCCACTTGTGTCGCCATATTTTGTTTCTTTTGATGTTGTACAGAAATGTCGATAAAGCTTCATTCTCTCTTATTTACGAGGCTTGCATTATTGGGGACAATATTTGCAATGCAGACGATAAACATTTTTAAGGAATGATTAATAGAATATATACACATACCGTATATTTAGATAAGACGAGGTCAAATTTTCATAGATTTATCCAGGACCTGTAGTATTTACCCGCTCGGCCCGGTGGCTAGGATCAAAGTGTAGTATCTGCGCTTTGTGAGCTGCCGGGTCGGGTGTCTGTCGAACTCTCTGCTTGCAGAGAGGAACCCGGACGAGGCTCCGCCGAAGGGTGGGGTTTCGTTCGGGGAGGTTGACGGAACTAGCCCGCTTGGACGGGTTTAGATGGGTTTTATTTTTGGCTGGGCCTACGGGCTCAGACATACCCACATTAAAAAGGCCTTGTGCCACATTCAATTCCTGTGGGTGAATTGATAAATACCATCATTAGAAATTCAAAATAACAAAACCGATCATGTTTTTCCTATATAAGTCTCCTTAAAAGGGAAACCATTATTCTGTTTACGCTTCATCACAGGATATCTTGCGAATACTGATTCGCTGTTCTTCCTCATTTTTTCCTATATCTAAATAGTTACAAACAGCCTGGTGTACTAATGTCCATCTACTTATACTTCATCATCGACAATAACAAACTTTTAATGAGGAATGGCTATTATGTTATCCTAAATGTTATCGCCGTAATTAACACTACCATGATGATTACTAAAAGTCTTTTAGCGAAAGATAATGGTTGCTGTAAACGGAATTATAACTCTATGTTTACATTTTCTCAGCTGAGCTTGCATGGATACAAGTTGATTTCATTGATATGGGATTATTCCTCGAATAGGCAATTTATTATGAAGTTATGTCCGTAATATGGAGACTGCGATGGGTAAATTGTCGCCACTTCGTAGTTGTTTGTTTTTGATTTTGCCAGTTGCACAATATAGTTGGGCCAGTTGCCTTCTGCATTCTATTGAGGTTTCTTCTAAACTCGATGAATTACTTAATTATAATTATCTCAAAACCGTCTTAATTTCTATCATTTGTATACCCTTGCTTAAACCGGCTTCTAATGCTCTGGGTGGAGCGGCTTGGGATAGTAGTCGTGGCTCTCGGGGGTGGGGGGGCAGTTGTATGGATAAGGGAAACTTGGATGAGTTCCATTAAGGAATATGTGAACGGGCGGCGCAATACCGAGTCTAATTCGTTACCGCTTTGCCACCGAGGCCCGTTGGTGCAGTTGGTATGACGTTTGCTTCATATCGTAACTGTTCGGGTTTCAATTCCCGGTAGTGGATGCACACTGCTGATGAGTCCCAAATATAGGATGAAACGGCCGTCCAGTGTTTTCTGCATTCTGTTGAGGTTTCTTCTAGACTCGATGAATTACTTACATATATGTTTCTGGTTCGCGCTCCATTACATTAGAACGTGCGTTTTGCTAATAAAGATTCATAACTAAAGCGGATATTTAAATTTTAAAATATAACAGAACCCTTTGATGGTTGTAATGGGGATTTTTGAAAACGATCCCATTTATGAGTCTCTCTTTGTGATTCACCCCTAAGGATTATCTCAGAGGAGATCGAAAGTACTTGGGTAGGAAAAAACTACTGCGTCTTCCCTGATGAATTTCGTCTGAACATCAAGAAACTGACTAGAGAACTAGAAATGATTATTATAATAAATAGACCTAATATCTCTATCTTATTCAATGAAACATGTTTTAATAAATATATATATATATATGTGTGTGTGCGCACCACCCTAAATTGAATCCATTCTTAAAGAATCTAACATATCTATCTAATACAAGGAATACATGCTTAAAGAGATCAGTCATAGATTAGAATAAAGTAAAACCCCGTGACGCTGGATGACCACACAAAGGTGAAGACATCAGAACTCCAACTAGACAGATACACATACACAATCAGGAATACACATTACCATCCGATGGCCGCTTACACATACAAGAATCTTCAGAAGCTTAAATACATATGGAATTATCTACGGTTTTAATGCACGTGATACATGACTGACTAATGAGAAATGACCCAAACCAAATTGAAAATACCAGAGTTTCTGTTTTTTGTCTGTTTATTTTTTTTCGCTAAATCTCTGACAAAGCTTTAATAAAATTGAAACATATTAGATTGATATACGTTTCCTATTTGTTCTTTAATCTATCATCCAGTCGGATTGATCTGCAGGTGGTCTTTAACACACACACACTTATATATATATATATATATATATATATATATATATATATATATATATATATATATATATATAATTATTTATTTAAAAATATGATTCCAAAACGCTACATAAGAAGTCTCATGTTTCAAAACAAGAGCCGAAAACTTCAATGTAATTATTTAAATTAAATTGAGTTAAAATAAGCTCTGTTCCATCTTCAAGCGAAATTTTTTTTGGAATTTAAATAATCATATTGAAGTTTTCGGCTCTTGTTTTGAAACATGAGACTTCTTATGTAGCGTTTTGGAATCATATTTTTAAATAAATAATTATATTTATGCTCTACTTTTGTATCGAGCACTATTTTTTAAAAATAATAACTAAAATACTAAGGGACATTGGATTATTTACCTAACCAGTTCCTTCCTATTTTCTATATATTTTCACACACACACACACACACACACACACACACACACATATATATATATATATATATATATATATATATATATACACAGTGTAACCCGGATATAAGAGACCCGGATATAAGAGAAACCCGATTTTCTCTGGTCCCAAATTTAGAGCCTGTGTTAATGTATATAAAATAGACCAAACCCGGATATAAGAGAAACCCGGATATAAGAGACTTCTTATCCGGTCCCGACAACTCTCTTATATCCGGGTTACACCGTGTATATATATATATATATATATATATATATATATATATATATATATATAAACTGTAAAGACGTTTTTCACACTAACATCACCCTAAAAATTGTCATCATGTCTTTTGGGCTACAAAAAAAAAAGAAAGAAAAAAAGACAGATACTTGCATCTCCCTCAAAGGATTTACACAAGTAGACAAATATACAGGCACATATGAGGGGGGTGCTGAAAAGTCAAAACATCGGAACTTTTTTGTAAGGGCTTCTTGATCGGGTCGAGAACATTTCAGCACCTCCCCACTCAAGAATACTCTCTCATTCAAAAGAAAATGTTCTCTCGTATATGTCTACACATAGCAAACGCGTACATGTTTATAACAGAAAAATCCTCCTACATCCATAGACGTTTCCGTATACATTCCAACAAGAATATGGAAAAACATGTTCTGTGTTCTTCTTCTTTTCTTCCGCCCACGCAAGAGAGACTGACAATTCAAATAACCAACATTCAACAGTAATTAAGTGTGATTGAATGGAAGTCACTCGTGTTTACATTGGCATATCTACATGTTTGCACAATTTGATGGACACAGAATTTGGCACATCAAGTATACAGATAAATGGAAAGCTAAAGAAATGCACAGTCTATCGATCTGTTTCTATCTATCTATCTATCTATCTATCTATCTATCTATCTATCTATCTATCTATCTGCTTCAGTGTATCTATCTTTCTTTTTTTATATATCTCTCAATCTGTCTGTCTGTCTATCTACCTGTTTCAGTTTTTCTATCTATCTATCTATCTATCTATCTATCTATCTATCTATCTATCTATCTATCTATCTATCTATCTCATTCTGTTCCTATCTATCTATCTATCTATCTATCTATCTATCTATCTGTTTCAGCGTTTCTATTTCATTGTTTCTATCTATGTTTATCTATCTGTTTCAGTTTTTCTATCCATTTCAGTGTTTCTATCTATCTATCGATCGATCGATCGCACGATCTATTTCCTTATTTGTTTGTTTGTTTCTTTCTTTCTTTCTTTCTTTCTATCTATCTATCTATCTATCTATCTATCTATCTGTTTCAGTGCTTCAATCTATCTATCTATCTATCTATCTATCTATCTATCTATCTATCTATTTCAGTGTTTCTCTCTATCTATAGGGTGCGATGGGTAAATTGACGCCATTTGATATTTTTAATTTTGTTCATTCGCGTTGATGGATTTTGTCAACTACACAGTAGAGAAGGTCAGTTGGGCACCATCTGTGAGAAAAACAGCACCATCACACAATTCACTCCACCAAAAATTTGGAAACGGCATACTGTACTGCTTTGCATTCGCACCGGAAGCTGCAGTGCAAACATTTCGGAGCGTTTGGGTGTAAATCTGAGGACAGTGCAGAGGATTTGGGAAGAGTTGGATGAGTCTAATGGTGATTACGAAGGTACAGCAACTCAGAAAACTCACTCTGATCATTTTGATAAAAAAAAGAACTCCCGAATTTGTTGGTGAGGTCCTCAAACTCAACACGCCTTGAGGAGGTAGTGCTGTCCTGGATCAAGAAGGTGGCTACTGGAAGACCCTTTGCCTGGTAACAGGACTCTTCACTATGCCCCACATGAGCAGGAGAATACAGTCATGGCTGTCAAGTTTTTTCTGCAACCACATCACCCCTTATCTGACCACCTAACTCCTCACACTGCAACCCCCATGATTATTATGTTTGGGGCAAGGATTATGGCAGTATTCACCAACTTAAACAAGAAGAGCGTCCAGAAGAGACGCGGGAGTTTCTGAAGTCGTCTGGAGGCTGTGGTTGAAGCCAATGGCGATTTTATTGAATAATTGACTCTTTAGTGTTTTAAGATATTTTTGTGTAATTTTAGTAAATATATCTTTTAAAATGATATATCTGTTATTTTCATTTTTGCATAATTTAGATGAAAATCTATCTATCTATCTATCTATCTATCTATCTATCTATCATCTATCTATCTATCTATCTATTTCAGTCTCTCTATTTCATTGTTTCTATCTATCTGCCTATCTATTTCAGTCTATCTATCTTTATATATATATATATATATATATTTGTGTGTGTCTCCTTCACTTTACTTGTGTGTGTTTTCACTCTCTCTATATATATATATATTTACTTCCCTATTATCGTTTTTTATAAAATCTGTTATAACGACATTTTTTCAAATCTTCCCATTAATATAGGAATATATATATTATATGAGAAAAACAATTTCGTTTGGTTTATCAAGCAAAAATAGAAGACAATCAAAAAAAATTTCAACATCGACTTTAATGTATTTACAAATTCATCACAATCCTGCTTATTTTTACATAAAGCACTGTCAATTCTTATTAAATTTTGACTTGTATTTTTTCATCTGCTTGCGATAGAAGACAATGGAATTTAAGATATAAGAAATGCAAGTCAAAAATTAATAATATTTACCGTTTTGTTCCATTATCTTCTGCCATTTTTCAAGAGATGCCATACTTATATTCTAGAAATTTAGCTTTCTGTATGCAGAACTATTGTAGGAGCTTTTTTTTCAGTTTTTAGTTGGAAGTAGTTTTTTTTAAGTCTTTAAAGAGCGCCATATATGGAGCAAAGTTAGAAATATTCAGCACGAATTTTCCCAAACCACTTTTGACACGTTCGATGATTGACAGTACCTTCTTCATAAAGTGAACATTTTTTTTCTAAGATTTGGGCCAACTTTTTACTTTTCCCAAAATAAATATGCTAAAAATGTTCCTTTTTTTTTCTAGTTTTGACGGAGTTATTTTTAAGACCCCATATAACAAATGTCAAAATACAATGAAAAATAATAGTTTTGAACTTAGATCAGTCTCAATGCACTTCATGCCATCAAATAGCAAAAATGGAACCAAATATTTTGACCAATTATATACAAGTGCATCACGATGGATGACAATGTCACCGTAGGAGTCTACGATATAGAGATGACTAATCTGACAATCTCTACAGCCTGACTGAAATTATTATGCAAATCAAATAAACCTCGATAATTCAAAAAGGTCTGAACCGATATTTGTCAAATTTAAACTCGCCTATTTCTACCATTAGTAAAATATTTAACTAAGTTTCCTGCCATTTTTTATGGTTCATTTTAGAGTTGTTTGGAATTTACGAAAATGGATTGACTGAAGTTAATATGCGGATTAAACTAATGTTAGCTTAAGACCTCTGAAATCTAATAAAAATTATTTTTCATTTTGTCGATAGTATATGTTGAAACATGAGTAAAGAGAAGGATCTAATAACTGCTGAAAAACAGAAAATAACAGTTATTGAGTAGGGGATGTCCGCGTTGGAGATATCAAAGGAGCTTTGTAGAGATCATTGAACATAAAAGAGGGCTGCTGAAAATATAAGTAAGTTGAAAACTTGAGCAAAGGAAAAGGTTTTAGTTACTTGCTTCCTCGAGATGAACAAAAACTAAAGTGAGTTATAGTGAAACAACCAATTTTGACCAGTGCTCAGATCTTTGAAAAGGCTGGAATTGAGGGAGTCAAGAAGGACAAAAGGTGTAGAATACCTTGTGAATTGGGAGCTGAAAAAAATATCCTAGGTAATCTCCTCTCACAAAAGCAAATATTTTAAAGTGTCAAAATTGGACCAAGAAATAAATGAAAATTGACTTTTCTAAAGTAATTTTTGCGGACGAATTTCGAGTGAAATTTGTTTGACCAAAGGATGGCTGTGCATGTGGCTGAAAGAAGGCAACAAGGTGGCAGTATTGTTATAATATGGGCTGGAATTGTTGACCAAACCATTATTGGACAATTCAAAATTGATGAACGAGTTAAACTGAACAGTGCTATAACTATTTTATGAACAAGACTTTCTTTGCAGGGTACAAGTCCCAGTCTTGTAGTTTCAAAACGAATATGCATTTATGCACGACAATGCTCCTTCTAATGTATCTAAAGTTACCAATGAATTCTTTTTGAGTATAAAAGATTTACAGGATAATAGAAGATAATGGAATGGCCACCATCAAGTCCTGATCTGAATCCAATGGAAAATCTATGGTCAATTGTGAAGATGAAATTCTATGAAGTTGACAAGCAATGTGACAGTAAAACACACTGATGGGAAGCAATTAAAACTACATGTCAGAAATTGAACTTGCTGAAATAAAAAAAAAATTAACAAAATCAATGGATGATAGATTACTGACTGTTATTGAGAAGAACGGTCACTATATTAAAATGTAAAGGATTTAAAGACTTATATGTATTTATTATTTGTTCTATTATAGGTGTTGATTAATTTTTGATGAATTTATTACCTTTTGATTGAAGTAAAATATGATTATTTGGTTTTACCTAATAACTTCGGACGACAGTTTTCTAAGAATACATCAAATAGCTTCAATAAAATATAGTGATACTACCTAAAATTTTAACAGCCTTTGTTTTGACATCTAAATTGATTGTTTAAAATTTGATAATTTCTTTTCAAACTAAATTGGAATTATTGGAGTTTATATCATTTGCTTAATAACTTCAGACTGGGTCTATGTAGATGACACTTTTTAGGACCTTTCACCTAAATTGTGTATTCTGTCATAAGAGAACTACTGAAAGAATATTGCAGAGAGTGACAAGCCATAAGGTGTCAGTTAGTTATGTGTCGTGTGTGATACATGCTTAGGCGATCTTTCGATACATGGCTGACGAACCAGTAGATTGCCAATTCTTTTTGCGGTAGACCAGTTGCCATACAAGGCCATAGAACTCGGTCTGTCCTGCTATTTACCCATAGCTGGGGGAGAAGAAGAGGATTCATACCTTTCCCAAGGGTATTAGCACGTAAGTGAATGTAATGGATCCGACTGGAATTCGAACTCAGCTCTCTGATTTCTCAATCCGAGCCGCTATCCATTACACCTCCATGCCTCAAGCATTTGTATCAGTCAGTTATGTGCCATCCGTGATACACGCTTAGGTGATCATGTATCTTTCGATACATGACTGACAAGGCAATTTTTTTTCGCGCATAAGGTTACCATTTCTTTCTGTGCTAGACCAGTTACCAATTAAGGCAATAGAACCCGGTTTATCCTGCTATTTACCCAAAGCTGGTGGGAGAAGAAGACGATTCATACCTTTCCCAAGGGTATTAGCGCATAAGTGATTCCTCAATCTGAGCCACTATCCACTACTCCTCTATGCCTTCACCATAAGATGACGTCATAAAGATAAGTCAGGAAAATACATCATGTTTGGATGACATTAATACCAACTCCATGATCGTTTGCTGCCCGATAAAACATGAAACTTAATGTCATGAAACAAAACCACCAACTGACATCCTTGCTCAGAAGAATTTGTCTCACTGTGTCATTCAATAAAAGCCAATAGCTCATAGAAGTAATCTTTCCCAGGTTCCAGCCATTCATAATAAAGAATTCTCTTTGAATCCAACCAATCAGAGAAAAGACGATTTTCCTCAAGTAAATTCCATTTAGGTAGCCATGTTGAAGTAAGTTTTTCCTGGGATTTAAAGACTAATTTCTTCATTTTCGATTTATGTATGGATCCTTTTTTTCATTGCCACTGAGTATATTCAATAAAAGAAATCATATTTTATCCAATGTTGATCATGAAGAAAAAGACAGGTTCTTGTTTCGACATGTGGAATCCATTATTTCTAGCCTCTGATATTTTCGTTAGGCTTGTAAATGATGCACTACAGTGTGACCTTTTTTTTTTAGATTTCTCAAACTTTTCATGAAAAAGGATGCTGGGAAGTTTTACAGCATACTAGATTTACCCAGAAAAATCTTGGTTTTTATCAATAATAATAATAATTATTATTATTATTTTTTATTTTTTTTTTTATATCTGGCGTTTACACATTTCTTTCTGGGTCCTTCCCAGGGACCTAAGGTTAGAAATGGCATCATGACACTTTCCACTGAAAAAAAAAAAAAAAAAAAAATTACATAGATAAAGCCCTTCGTAAAGTGTGGGCTGTACTTGTCAGAACAAATTTTTGTATCTCCTTGAGGCATGGACTTCCAGGAATCCCTTCAATTAGTCTACTGCAATCTTTTCCAACCAGTCCTAGGGCTCCAACTACAACAGGGTTTGTTGATGTTCCCATATACCACATTTTTGAGATTTCTATTTCAAGGTCCTTGTATTTTGACAGCTTTTTGAATATCTTCAAAGATATATTGCAGTCAGCAGGGACTGCCATATCAATAAGGAGGAACTTTTTTTTGTTTGTGGTCTTTAATAATAATATCTGGGAGGTTGGCTTTGATTGTTCTGTCAGTGTGTATTGTGTAGTCCCATAGAATTGTAACAGATTCAACCTGTCTCCATTTCTATGTAAATACGTTTGATATGTAGGTTGGCAAAATAAAAATATTGTCACCCTCAGGTAATTATCTCTTGTTCCAAGTTATACACTTCAGTGAATGATTTCTTTAGTTTTCTAACAAACTGAAACAGAATTGAGTGAGACATAATTGCAATGATATACACGTCTGTATACATATGCATTCGATTATACACGTCTTCATACATATACATTTGGATATGCACGTCTGTATGCATATATATCCAGATATACACGTCTGTATACATATGCAATCGAATATGCACGTTTGTATGCATATGCATTCGGATTTTCACGTCTGTATGCATATATATCCAGATATACACGTCTGTGTACATATGCATTCGGATACGCTTGTCTGTATGCATATGCATTCAGATATGCACATGTACATGTATATGCATTCATATATGCACATCTGTATACATATGCAATCGAATATGCACGTTTGCATGCATATGCATTCGGATTTTCACGTCTGTATGCATATATATCCAGATACACGAGTCTGTGTACATATGCATTCGGATACGCTTGTCTGTATGCATATGCATCCAGATATGCACATGTATATGCATTCATATATGCACATCTGTATACATATGCAATCGAATATGCATTCGGATTTTCACGTCTGTACGCATATGTATCCAGATATACACATGTGTATACATATAATTGCAGATATACACATTTGTGTGCATATGTATTCAGATATACACATCTGTACGCATATGTATCCAGATATACACATCTGTATACATATGCTTCCAGATATACACATCTGTATACATATGCTTCCAGATATACACATCTGTATACATATGCTTCCAGGTATACACATCTGTATACATATGCATCCATATATACACATTTATATGCATATGTATCTCGAGAGACACATTGGTATATACATACATAATTCGCTTTCATATATAAATCTATGTGTATACCTTCTATCCATAAATAAATCAATAATAAATTATTTATCATTAAAAATATACAATATGGATATATATCTGAATATCTATAACTGTGTCTGCATGTGTGGCTGTGCTATATAATTCAAGTATATATGCTATGGGATCATATATATAGAGTCATACATATATTGTATATATGTATATATAATATTGTTTATATATATTTTGGCACACACATACAAACACACACACATACACACACATATCTATATATGTATATACATACTCACTATCACCGTCAAACACGTGTATAGAAGAGAAAAGGTGAGTGATGCACAAGGTAGATGCGATATTTTTTCAAAGTGGAACTTGTATGCAGCAGATTTCAAAATAATCGCATTTCAAGCAGGAAGTATGGAGGAATAACACCTCCAGTAATTTTTTGCTTTCAATTTTTTTTTCATTATTAAAATGTCCCCAAGGAAGTGAATGTGAGGGAAATTAGGATGACTACGCCAGGGAA